CCCCAAAACCCCAAAACCCCAAAACCCCAAATCTAAGCTAAAGTATTGAAAATCTACTATACCCTTGGACTCGGCTTCTGCTCATCAAAATTTTTAATCCGAAGGCACAGGCTTTAATCCCGATTTGGGTACAAAATTATTAGGAAATTATACAGGTGGGTCAAGGCCATCTTCAGTGGCTAGATCTGGGTCTCTGACATAGACTTCTATGTCACAACCAAAGCTACGTCTTAGGTATCTCCAGATTAGTGAGTTTACTAGTACCAGCCCTTCTTTTGTCTATTGAACTTGGGTTTTGGATTTTGTTCTGCACTAAACCCAGAATCAGCACCTGGGACATGTAGGGAGGGACTATTCCCTTCCGGTCGTCTGGATTGGTAGGTAGCAACTGACTCAATGGATAGCATCCTGAAACACTTCCATCATCTATAATTATACCTGAATGGGAGGAACTGATATATCTGGGCTTAGGCAGATGAGGGCGTATCAACCTCTTAATTTATCTTTCAAATATCCTGCTCATTTTCTTAATAGAGTAAAACGCTTTATAGGTAATGGAAGCTAAATTTATGTATTCCAGATTATCTGAAGACTCCCGTACTCATGAGCCAGTAATAGATAAATATTTAGTACTATAAACATATCAGAGATCTTTAGAGTTGGTTATTACCAAAATGGGGATGCTTTTTGCTTGAATTGCTCAACACAGAAATCTCTCTGCACTCTTTTTGCTATGTATCACAAGTCTTCCATCCTCCCAGAGAGACGAGTGAAGTTTGTAAAGTAATTGATCAGACATACTGATCTCCAGATTTGGTACTTTGCTCAGCAGGAAGAGCCAGTTTTGTATAGAAGCTTCAAGACTTCATCCAGATTTAGGCTAGGCTAACTTAAGGATAGCATTTATAAAGGTATTTATTAGAATTGGACCCCTTCTTCTAGCTTAAAGATAAGTTAATATTGACCAACATGCTTGGATAAGTCTTGGCTCAAAGCCTCGTGATCTTGTTAGCATTGAAATCTGAGCTTCATGAATTTTAATAAAAAATTTAATCTAAATTCTGACTTGTGCTATAGAAGCCTTTAAGGCTCATTTTCTGTAGTTTAGGTTCTTAAGATTGGCTTCATACACGAATGAGAGCTCACCGATCTCTATTTTGATTTGTGGTTCAAAATTTGAGAAATAAACCATTACAAAAGAGCTGGATGTATTTTGAGTCCAGCAAACCCTAAATTATTAGCTTAAGGTCTTTAACTAAGATTGACTTATTTCATCCCGTTGTGGAACCATGAAGGGACTATTCTCTCACTGTGTAATTCTGATACTCAGCTCCTAGAAGAAGTTACAAAGAAAGGTGAACTAGTTTGTCTTGGTTCTTTAATTGTGTCTCCCTCGTCATGTATGCCGTTATCTTCACCAAGTCTAAGTACTGGGAACACTCAAGTTGTCATGGCTAAGCATAAAACCATTGGACCTTCTTCAGCTGTACAGACTTCAAGGAAACTATCCTCATACTTCAGCTTCAATCTGAGAAACACACCAAATAAACGCCATCGCTCTGTAAGAGTAGCTGCTAAATTGTTGGCTGAATGGCATTGCAGCCTGATTCTTGCACAATAATTTTGTGAATAGAGATCGAATAATTCTAGATCTTAATTTTTTATAAATTTGCCAATTTTCCCTTCTCATTTTCAATGAACTTCCTAGACATGGTACATAATCATAGTTCTCTCGAGCAGTGTTTGACAACATCACATTACAGTTATCTCTTGAAGAGCTTGAATCAGAAACTAAGGAGAAGGAAGAGTCTGTAACTCTTTCTTCCTCAGTATCTTGAGGTAAAACCTCAATGATACCTGCATTGATGATTTCACCAGGCCTGACATACTCATCAAAGTAAGAATCATAGGACTCTTCGAAGTCTTGTATCCAAGGGCTGAGGTCCAATGGTAATCTCCCATCACTAGTGGGCCTAGAGCCTCTCGTAAATGTTCCGAAAGGAACATTTACATAGTCTCACCATTGGGCCCACCAAGGGGCACTGATGGCATACAGCTTCTTATCTGAAACCTCCTTCTTAAATTTTCGAAGAAAATTTAAGAAGTGTGATTTCCTTGAGATGAACTGTCAGTACTTGCCACAAGTGCTGCCTGCATCTGTGCATTCACAGGAGTGGTACTCCAGTGAGATTGCAGAAGCAGAAGTATCCCAGTGTAAGCTCTTTCTGATGGCGGTGTCCTCATCAGAATTTTCAATCAGTGGGAGTTCAGAAAAAGAGGGCACTTCCTTGAGCTTGCTCAAGGAAGTGCGACTCTTTGTGCTGGCAGAGTTGTCAGCAAAATTAGTGGTGATGTCCACCAATTTCTGATAAGTCCCTGATCTTTTGTGCATTCTAAAGGTCCTCGAGGGAACACTTACATTGCAGGCTTGGAGTCCAGGTAGACTCTCCTTAAGCATTTCCTGTCTTTGATGATTATTTGGGGTTTTCTACATTTTTTGTGTGAAAAATAGTTGGTGGAGAAATTTCTGTTGCTTCATAAATCTTGAAGAATCATTTTTGGCAAATTTTAATGAATTGGTCAAGATGCTGTAAGAGACATTGCCTTAATTGACCAGTGGAGCAGTGGGAAATGCTATTTAAGAATAATCTCAAGTATTAAGTCTTGGAAATAGAACTCGGTTTTGATAAAATATTGGATATATTTGCACTTCACCAGATTGGCCGCTTTAAGTTCCGGAGATATAGGCAAGCTAGTTGTGCAACTAAAATGTTTGATTATAAAAGAAACTTAAGTTTCAAGTCTGACCGAACCACCAAGTTGTTCGACTGTTATAAAGCTTACTTTTTCGAGAAATTTAGCGAATTTCTGGTAAACTTGCCACTGGGTCCCTGAAACTGTTTTCTCTTGGGTCTGCTTCAGGCCGAAATTGAGCTTGCAGCACTCTCTTGATGCTCAAGGTTTGCTGATATCCCATAGGCATCGTCTCTAAAGAAGTTTAGATTGAAACTGATTATTATTTATCCCAATTGATCTAATTTTTGCAAAAATTAAAGCTAAGATTTTAGAAGAATTTCTTAAATTTCCACCTCTTTTGAACAGCTGAACTTACTCTTGTGTTTTAAGCATTGAATTTAGGAGAAGAGTTTTCTTCTTCCTGATTCTTGACATCTATATCATTATTAACAATTTGCAGTTGTCAGGACTGGTTCTACCCAAAGTGGCTCATGAGCAAGATTCGAGATCCAAAATTCCTCAAAGTGTATTATTTGTTTATGATAAAAAGTGCCCAAAGATTCACAAACATGAGGCTGGGAGAACTCAGTCCTCTGCTTATGCTCTAACAAGTCTAGTTGCCTGATGGACGTAAGGCTAGCAGGGCTGAGACTTGTTCTGTAAAGCCTGATAGGCTGAATCGCTTACCACTCTGCTCATTTTTAATTACAATTTTCTCAAATGATTTTCATAAGATAGGGGTTTTGGGGTTTTGGGGTTTTGGGG